GATTTTGGGGGGGTCTCCAGGATTTTGGGGGGGTCCCCCTGATTTTGGGGGGGGTCTCCAGGATTTGGGGGGGTCCCCCTGATTTTGGGGGGGGTCCCCCTGATTTCGGGGGTTCCCGGCAGCGGCGGCCGCCCCGCCCCTTTCAGCACCGCGGACAGCGCCCCCCCAGCACCGCCTGGGGGTCTGTGGGGGTCCATAGGCACCTATAGAGTTCTATAGGGGACTATGGGGGTCCATAGGGCACCTATAGGGGTCTGTGGGGGGCTATTGGGTCTGTGGGGTGCTATGGGGGCTATGGGGGCTATGGGGGTCTATAGGGGACCTATAGGGTTCTATAGGGGGCTATGGGGTCTGTGGGGTGCTATGGGGGCTATGGGGGGCTATGGGGGCTATGGGGGTCTATAGGGGACCTATAGGGTTCTATAGGGGGCTATAGGGGTCTGTGGGGAGCTATGGGGGTCTATGGGGGTCTGTGGGGGTCCATAGGGCACCTAGAGGGTTCTATAGGGGTCTGTGTGGTTCTATAGGGCACCTATAGGGTTCTATAGGGGGCTATAGGGGTCTGTGGGGGGCTATGGGGGTCTGTGAAGGGCTATGGGGGATATGGGGGCTATGGGGGGCTATAGGGGACCTATAGGGTTCTATAGGGGTCTATAGGGGTCTGTGGGGTTCTATAGAGGTCTGTGGGGGTCCATAGGGGTCTCTGGGGGGTTATGGGGGTCTGTAGGAGATATGGGGGGCTATAGGGGACCTATAGGGTTCTATAGGGGTCTGTGGGGTTCTATCGGGGTCTATGGGGAGCTATGGAGGCTATAGGGGTCTGTGGGGGTCCATAAGGGGTCTATAGGGGATATGGGGGGCCATGGGGGTCCACAGGGGTCCACAGGGGTCTATAGAGGGCTATAGGGGTCTATAAGGGTCCATAGGGGTCTATTGGGGTCCATGGGGGTCTATAGGGGTCCATAGGAGCCAATAGGGGTCTATAGGGGTCTATAAGGGTCCATAGGGGTCTATGGGAGTCCATAGGGGTCCATAGGGGCCTATAGGGATCCATAGGGTTCTATAGTGGTCTATGGGAGTCCATAGGGGTCTATGGGGGTCCATAGGGCTCCATAGGGGCCTATAGGGGTCTATAGCTGTCCATAGGGGCCCATAGGGTTCTATAGGGATCCATAGGGGTCTATAGGGTTCTATAGGGCTCCATAGGGGTCTATAGGGGTCTATAGGGGTCTATGGGGGTCCATAGGGGTCTATGGGGGTCCATAGGGGTCTATAGGAGTCCATAGGGGTCTATAGGGCTCCATAGGGGTCTATGGGAGTCCATAGGGTTCTATGGGGGTCCATAGGGTTCTATGGGGGTCCATAGGAGTCCATAGGGTTCTATAGGGATCCATAGGGATCCATAGGGGTCTATGGGAGTCCATAGGGTTCTATGGGGGTCCATAGGGTTCTATGGGAGTCCATAGGGATCCATAGGGGTCTATAGGGGTCTATGGGGGTCCATAGGGATCCATAGGGGGCTCCTCTATAGGGGGGCACCCCCCCCCCCCCCACCCATCCCCCCCCCCCCCCCCCCCCCCCGCCCCCAAATAATCCATAGCCCCCCCCCCAATTTCGGACCCCCCCATTAATCCCCCCCTATATGGCCCCGCCGCCCCCCTCCCCC